GTGTCTTGGCTTCCGTTTCAAAGTCATCACTCATATGCTCCTTACTTGTGTTTTCACTCGTTGCTTTCAGAAGGCCCCTCCTCTCCTGAAGCCGGAAACCTCAAAACACTGATAGCTCACGTTCTGACAGCGTCCGGCGAACAGCCTCTCCTCCAAAAGGCAGATTACACCCGCCTGTCAGAAACAGTCCCAGCTGTCAGCCCAGGCAACGAACCAAGGACAACACATCAATAAAAGGACAGGAAAGAAACGAGGGAGGAAACCAACAGGAAGATTGACATCAAAGACCATTCAAGAAATTCCATCAAGAGATCAGGCATCCCCTCGTCAGCAAATCATCCATCAAGACAAGCTGGCAACCAAACTCTTGGTAGATCTCTTGATAGGTCGAACAGCACACATGGCAGAAGTCCTCTTGTCATGCTGACGAAGTGGGTGCCTCATACAAAAAACAGCCATGCCCAACATCCCTGTGACCCTCAAATTTTAAACAATGGAGTCCAAGTCCATGTGTAAATGCCGAAATGCTGGTGCATGTGGCAAAACGTATTGCCCACCTGCACAAGGAGGAATGCCTCTAGGCCCATCCTGACCAGCCTGTCACTGACGCCAGACATGACCACACCAGGCACGAAAAGGGCCACCACGAGGGCAGCCATGAGGAGCTGGCAGATCATGTGCATGGGCATGCCGCCAACATGCATATCCAGAAACCAGAAGTGGTGCCAGATCACCCACGCTGCTGAAGCCACTGTCCCTGTAGGCCACGTAGGGAACAAACCCACTCAGGCGGAGGTGCTCCCAGCAACTCACTTTCAACGTGCCCAGCTCTTACAGCACTCCCACCAGTTTGAGAGCTGAAGTAGTGTCTGGTCATGATACCAGCACTTAGCCACACTTGGCTGTGAAGGGCTGTCGTGTGCATGAATCCTTTGTAAGTGCCTATCCACATGCCCGATGAAGAAACAAGAGGCACGAAGTGCTGCTGACAACTGCACTGCACTCTGTTGCACTGCCTCACCCTCGTTTGTTGCGTTTGTCCAAATGCGGTGAGCCCCTGCCCTTGCACCCTTTAGGCGATGAGGGGAACGGCTGGAGGCAGCTCACCTGCAAGGAAAATGAGGTAGTCCCTGAGCTGGCGGGAGTCGTAATAGAGGGCCAGCCCCGCTGCTGAGATCAGGGGTGCGGGCATGAGCGCCATGGGCAGGCCAACTGCCAGGCTGCCAGCAGCAGCAGCCACCACAAGGGAACCCCCTCCAAGGATGAATGAAGTTTGGGAGTCCAGGATGCCTGTGGAGCAGAAGTCGTGGGTCAGGACATCAGTGACGATAACAGTAGAGACACTGAATGGATAGAACTAGCAAGAAAGAGGGATAACAGCAAAAGTGGAGATTGAACGGAGTGCAACCTCCTGATACTCCTGAACGTGATATTCTCCGATGTCTTCTGGACCATACATCTGACCTGGGAGAAGCTGAGAGCCGGGGAAGGCATGGAAATGTGGAATGCCTGGGGGCCCAAAGCGTCAGAACTTGGCTGTTTGAATGGACAAACAGATGGGCATTGCCCCACTGCGTAGCTGGCAAAATATTCAAAACAGTTACAGAAGGTCCCTTTTGATATAATCATCTTTCCCGGGTATTGTTGACAGTGTGAAGATGAGGTGGACACATCTGATGGATGGAGACACAATGATTATAACATGTCCAAGAGGTGGAAGATGTGTGAGAGACCAGGATGTATGCATGACAGAGGTTGCAGATGTGCCGATTGATCGATGCCAACTTCTGAGGAATGTCTCAGCACTTTTAAAGATTTCTCATAATACAATCTTGTTGATCCAGACACTATTCTGGTCTGGTGATAGAACACACCATGGAAATTCCCTTAGTGACATTTGCCAGGAACACAAGAACTGGAATGGCATTAACGAGCAATAGAGACATGCTGTGTCTCCAAGCCAATGCACTCGACGTGGAATCTCTGAAAACAGTTGTGTAGTTTGATGCTGAGTAAGCTCCAGCGTGGATGAAAATTGGATCAAGCTGGAATGAAACAGCAGGCAAACCAGCAATGACAGCAACTGAAGCAAAGAAATGCACTGAAGGACCAACAACATGTCAGGGATTCAGGGACTGGTTGTGTTTGTGAATTCTGCTGGTTACATTTGCCTAAACACAAGATGAAACAGGGTCCTTGCGCCTGGAAAGGCCATCACAGGCAGGGACAGGGATTGCGACATGGAACACTGGGCATCTCCTTCACAGGCATCGAGTGCCTCTTCACCTGCTATATGAGCACAAGCAATGCCTGCCTTCAAGTACAGGAACACGGACACAACGATCCAACTCCAGGGTGGGCTCAACAGGATGTACTGGCTGAAGGCATGGAATATGACACGGCCCTCAAAAGCAGCGATGCCCACAACGCCACCAAGAAAAAGGCACAGCACCCTGACCATGCCCCGTGTGTGCCTCTCCAAAGACACCCACCACAGGCCCCCTGTGTGGCCACACAGCATCATGGCACCAGCAAGACAATGAGAACTATGGAAACAACAGCATATGGTGGCTGCTATAAGAACACTGCATAGAAGGGGGGCACATGCAAGAGCACTGCATACAACAGTACATACGCAGAATGCTTGGCCACAGACATCATCAAAGTAGCATGGCAACACAAATGTGATGCCTCAGGAGGTGGAATCTCAACAGCATGCAATTGATAAAGCGGATCCCGGCAGTGTCACTGGCAAAACGACAATGGTTTGTTGTTGTTTGACAAGTGGAAAGGAACACGATTTGCAGTGCTAAGCCTGCAAAAGGCTTGGAAAGATTTGTTGGGCCGCAATGCCCTGCATTGCTGAGTAGGTGTGGAACTGTTTTGAAATGCATCACATAGCACAAGAATACAATGCCATGGTGATAAGTTGAACAACCTTCTGCAGCACAAAGAATGGAAACCAACATGAACTGCACTCTGCAAAACGGTATACAACAGGGCGAACCAGCTGGATCAGGACATTGTCCCAACACCAACAGAATCTGGGAACTGAATGGCCAACAGTCGAGCAAAGCTCTGCATGTCATGGACCACAACAAGCGCCTCGTGCTGGTTCACAGTTGAATGTACACCAATAGGACAAGTATTGTGAGAGAGGCGGATGCTTTCAATGCGACAAAAGGGAGAAACCAATTCATACCATCCAACGGGCACCCCTTCTCAGCAGAAAGATGCTGAGATCCTGTTCCATGCTTAGTACAGCACTGTAACTGCCAAAAGACTGCTCAGCGTAGAAAGGATAACGGAGCAAATCAACATGGGAACCGTGCGCCATGGATTTGAAAAAGGTCTGACACAGGCCAACTGCTGCAAATGCAGCGATCGTCAAGCCTGGATGTGTGCTGAAAATGTGGCCCTTTTCACAACTGGGAAGAAATGAATCATGCTGAATAGTTCCCATACCTGGCGTGCCTGCCACAAACAGAAGCGGGAATGACCACAGGAGGGCTACGCTCCAGATGTGCTCCCAAAGCAGCATCAGCTCAAGGTGCGTCACAAAATAGATGGTAGCCGGCAGGACTACCACAACCGCAGCACACAGAAAGCCATCCACCTGGTCTTGGACTTGGGCTGCTGCCGTGCCTGAGGAGCCCCCAACCCTGCCTGCCCCCTTTTTGCAGCCCAGCGAATCAAGCTCAGTCCCAGGTGATCAGCGTGAACAGAATCGAGTGCGGCATAAGGACATCTATCATGCGTTCACGATCATACTTCCTCTGTCTAGAATTCAATGGAACAATTTGGAACAGGCATTTTGCAACACAAGAAAATTGCCAAACACAAAGTCAGCGTCAGAAACCACATACTGATACGCCAGAAATCACCTTTTCCGTCACCAAATGTGGTCATTCAGTTCACTTCCTATGTCTCTAAATGAGGCGGTTTTGACAGCAATCGTCAGTTCACGTGACACGCCTCTACCATTGTTTCTGTCCGCACAGCATCATTGCTGCCCTGACCAGTCTGCAGATTCAGGACTACTGCCACCACATGGAATCTGAGAGACTTTGACATCACTACACATCCAGCACCGTGCAGTCCACAGAAAGAGGCGCCAACCCAAGACCCCATACTGTCATTTATGTATGTATCTGTTTTCCACACAATTTTAGCATCATTTAACAATGGGAATGGATTGCTGTTGTCCGATTTGCAAGGGAATAAATCCTTGACACAGTTGCGGCCTCACAAACAACTGTCTCATTTACTTCTGGACAGAGGATCTATTTCAATATTCAAAAACAGTGTAAAAACACAACCTTTGAACTACTCGATGCTTCAAAAGCAAGGTCATGTCCGGTTTGGCAGTGCAGTGAAATAGATGTAATGAGCCTGAATGCTACAGACCCGCAAAAACCATTTCAAGCAGGTCATTGAGCAGAACAAGACTGTCCCAATGCAGCAAGTGTGAGGACCATGCGATGGAGTGTTGAGGAAGTCTATAGTCTTCCATTCTGAGACATTTTTTTTTGAAAAGTAGACGCAGTGTTTGCTTAGTTATTCAGTGAATGGCACCTTGAAGAGAGCATTTCGACTTTTTTGAGTTGTCTGGGTGGGAAGGCAAGTGGTTGGTGAAAGGACTTGAATTGGGGCAGCTGCAGAGACGCATCAATGCCACGCTGTACGGTTCATAGATTGGAACGATCACTGATGGGCAGGGCAGCATGCATATGGGGGCGACAAATTGCATATGCACAAATATCCCTTCCATGCCTCACAGCTGTCAGGATCCGAAATGAACACGCAACTATCCCTCACTGTATCTCAACACGCATCAACATATCTTGGCTGCATCTCACCATGTCCCAAGACAAAGCAATCTGTGGGTATTAGCCCTTCCCATGCGAAATCCATTGTACTGTCTTCTGCCCCAAATTTTACATGCCACACATCATCAGGCCAATGCAGTGAGCTTGGTTAAATCGCTCTGAATCCCAGTGTCACACCTTCTTTTCAAACGAGGAAGGAAGCGGCAGCATGCAGAGGGCATACAACACACAGCCCAGTGCAGCCATGTAGAAGGGGGCAGTGTCGATTCCCACAGCTCCAGCTGCACCAAAGCCCTGGACCACAAGGCCCAACACCAAGCTGGAGGACAGCAGCAGCCGCTCCATGGCCAGGACGACCATGGGGTAACGCATTTGGATCCATTTGAACTGGACAGTGGCCCATATCCCATGGAGCATGAGGGTCACGCCCATCATGCCAATTATGCCCACCGTCAATGCAGCAGATCTGGGTTGATCACCAATGCAAGTCCATCCATCAATCAAACAGTCAAGCAACAAAGCAGGCAGGCTGCCAATCAACCAATCAAATGACAGTTTCCCTATACATGAGAAATAATCGCTGAAAGCCTCGGAGATTGGTGTTCGAATGAAGCAACATGCAATACGAGTTAAGGCCTTGCAGAATAGTACTCTTTTGCATGTTCTTGTTATTCTTCATCTTCCTGAATTTGGAAACTTTTGCGTTTGGGTGTTTCTGGCAATAAACACGCAGTGCACACGATGAGAAGCTACGGAAAACTGTTGATTGAGCATGAGCATCTTGAAGAAAATACCTACAAACATTATTGCAGGCTCATATAGCCCCAGTGCTGGCTTCCGTTGCCAACGACAACTACACCACGAGAAATTTTAAACTGCAGCATAATGCACATCACAACATCACACCGATGAACAGCAATTCATGTTGACAACATCAATTGCATATTCATGAACACTTCCACAAACCAACACGGCAGATGTGGCTGCACAATTCAATTCTCCGTTTGACAAGCTCGTGCGCCCAAACTACAGTGCATGGCTCAGATTCGTGTTCTTCCACATGAAACAAGAAAAGAAATGGTACCAAATGTAAGGAATGCCATTTAAACTGACTGGAGTGCTCACCGGCCCTTCATGAGGCCACGGATGCCTGTCAGAAACCCTATATTGGCAACCACCAGTGTGAACCACACAGACGCAAAAGCAGCTTCCCTTAGCCGCAGTGCATCCATGATGTATGTTACCATCGCTCCCACCTCCACAGCCACAAACTCGATTAGCCTGCTTGCTGTCAGCACAAAAAAAAAGCGAACAGGGCTGTCTTGTTTCAGAAATCCTTTAAACTGGATTTTTTTGCCAATTAGGTTTCTGGCCACTTTTGGGGACAACACATTGCAAGCTTCCTCACTGCTCTTCAAGAGTTAGCGGGCATGCTCGCATTCTGCGTGCATTGCCTTTGTCCACCAATTCCCGTTTCTCGTGTACTTTTTCATCAACTTTCACAGCATTCACAAGAGTCCCAAACATCGCTGCTTCTCAGGATGTCTCTTTATGTCACATAGGTTTCCTTCTAATGTTGAAAATTCTTCCACGTTGTGTGTGCCTGTGGATGACATGTCAATGCCAACAAAAGATACATAATACAGTGTGTTGACAAACACAGCCTTGGAGTGCACAGGCAATTGCACTGTTCTGAACAAATACCATAAAGGCCTGTGGCAATTCTTGAGACAAAATTTCGTGAAGTTGCACACAAGATTTTCTGCTTCCTGGCACTACAGGGGCCATGACCTTTATCACTGAGGATGCTGTTACGGTTAAAGTGGGGTGAAAGCAAGTGCCCTGCCAACCCAAGTATGCACAAGAGAAGGGGGGTCCCAAGACAAAAGTGGGACACAATACTGAGAAGAGTGCAGCAGTCTGAATAGCGTGTACAGTGATGATGTCCTGACTTTTGTTGCTGAAGTGCCATCGAGTTACGGCTGACTGAACCCACAGAGGGGTCCATCTGTAGGCTGGTGGGTGATGCCGTCAAGTGGTTTCAGCATGTTTGACTCTGGCAGGTTCCGTTGTCCCTGGAATCGTCTAAATAGGCAGCAGTGCTCGTCATCGCCTTGAAGGAGCAAGGGCAGTTGACTGTCAACTCTTAGCAACTGCATTTTTCCATTGAATGAATAGATGGTTGGGACTGCCACACAGGACAAGGCATGGACCCTGTACGAAATTCAGCGATGGTTGGATGCACAACACCGCCAACCATGCTGCTTGTTCCCTCCAAATCGTTTGGGCCCTTGCCAAGAGGGCCAATACCAAGGGACTTTAGCACAGGTGATTCCACTGATTCACTTACCAGCAGCATCCCCACCACCAGCCTCCCTCCGATGCCACCAAGCACGATGAGACTGGGAACCAGCGCCAGGGCGACACGGCCATTGTGCTGAAAGGCGTTGGGGGCGAAGCGCCCCCTTGCCATCTCAAGGTCTCCCACTCGAATGCCCAACACCCAGAGGTTTACGCTGACCTGAATGCCCGCAACAAGTGTTTCAGAACATGTGGGTGGGAATGTTGTTGTTGCTAGTTGTCTTCCTTCAAAGCTCAACATCACATTAAGAGACCAGGTGCCACCCTTGCAGTAAGACAGTATGGGGCCCTTGTGTTGCTTCGCAACTACAGCAAGGCTCTCAAGAAATATCATATGCAAACGCACGCACAAACCCAAGAAGAGAACTCCGGTGGGGTGTGAGTGAGGGGAGACAGATCAGAAAAGCTAGCAAATTTGGCAGTTGCTGTTGTCATTGCTATTAGTGTTAACTTAGTTGCATCGCTAATGAGTCCTTATCGTCGTTGCCAATCCAGTCACAAGGATTGCCAAAGCTGGCAAATGCCATGTATCCATTACAAGCTGGCAATATCTAATCATGTCCAGAATTGGCAGGTCAACCCCTGAAAGGGCCCTATCTACTTGGAAAGGCACACGGCCACCAAAATCTCTGTTTTATCGAAATGTGGAGGTTGCCATGCACCTGCTGACCTAAAGATGGAAGGGAAATGTGTCGCGCAGTGGCACACCCCTCTTGAGCAAGACTTTCATTCGCACCCATTACCATGCCGTGGATGATGATGCAAAATTCTCTACCAGAGTGCTTTTTTGGCCTCACATAATGTTGCTGAAATTCTTGAGTAGTTCTCTGTGAGTGCAACGGGAATTGGCAATGAGCCAGGGACTGAACAGAACAATTCTATGGCAAACCCAGGACGATGGAATGAATTGTGTCCATTGCCTCAGTGTTTAAAATGATGCACTGATCCTGGAACGCGTCTGTACTGAGGGTCAGATCATTGGAATGCATCAAGATGCCTCTTGGTGTATACGGAGCTCAAGATGCCCGGCAACAAGGCACACATCCACAGTTCCCCAATCTTGCCAGGGGGAATGGGACTGCGCACCGACGGGCGGCACTTTGCTGCAACACAGGTGGCGTTTCGCAGAGGCGACGGGCTCAGAGGACACGGCAGGCGACCCTCCCCCACTGACAACACAGCGCAACGGCTGCGACAGCGGGCGAAGAAACGGCCGATGCAACGGGCACTTCCGTCCGAAGGCGCGTCTCCGATGCCGCTCCCCGCGTTGCAAGGATGCGCTGCGGCGTCCGGCGCAATGGGCGAGCCACGCAACGGCGAACTGCGCAGAACATTGGGACGATGGTGTGTGTGGGCGGGTGGGTAGGGGGGTGGTCCGGCAAAGAAAGTCACCTTTGAATCGCCCCCGCCGAGTAGCCTGACGCCAATCGACGGCTTTCCGAGCAAGGACGCCGCCTCGATCAGATACTCAGCACCGGCGCCTCACTCCCGCCCTCCGCGCCGCGCCCCGTGGCGCCGATCGCCAAAATTGTGCGGATCGGAACGATCCCTGGGGCTAAGGACGACGCGGCGAGGCGCGCCGGCTGCAGCGGCGGCCGCCCGCTCCTGCGGAATCAGAGCGGCGGCGACCGGCCACTCGGCGAGCCCGCCCGCGGGCACGGCGTCGGCCTCGCAGAGGACTGCCCTCCAGGAGCGAAAGCCCACGGGGCCTGCCCGCCCAATGATCCCCAATGTGAGGGCAGTGTGGCAGTCGTTTTTGTGCCTTATTTTTCCTGTGAATGTGGGAAAATTCTGGGGGTTGGAATGGCGTTGATGTGACACAGTCATGACATACATGCTGAATGGATTGCCTGACCGTAAGGAACAGGCATGAAATTCGTCGCTCTGTCCTTTCCGTCAAGATCCCTGCTTGTTTTGGACACCGTACACCCTAAACCACTGACCCGCTGACCGGCTCTGGCCTTGTCAGGGGGAAAAGAAGAAGGTATCCTCACGGAAAAGAGAGGGACTGGTATATTCTCGCAAGTTACATCGCTGTTCGCGACCTGTCTGTAACTCAATTGCTTCCAGCTCGTCCCCGGACCACCGCCTCCACCGGAACCGCTTCCCTAGTGGCGAACCAGCTAGCGACTTGGCAGCGGATATTGTCGAAACCGCATTGACTTGCAACTGAGGTCGAGTGACGCTTGGACAGCGGAGAAAACGTGTCTGCAACGGGCGGACGCCCCCCTGAGCGAATGCGCTGAGAATTTTTTCCGCACTGTTGGAGATGATGGTTCCGGGTTCATCGGGGACAGCATGAACCAATCGGCAGAAACAGGGAACGGCACTGAGATGCGGATGAGCGCCGTTTCGTCTACTTCCAGCAGACTTCGTCAGGCCATCGAACGGTGGAAGTTCATCGCCAGTCAACAAGTGAGAGGGAGGACAGATGGTGCTGTCGAGGCTGCTCCTAGAACAGCGCGGTGACGGCAGATAAATGAGGGTTGCAGTCCTTGGCATTTTCTTGTGGCCCACTTCTACGTTGCCGCTGCGCTTGGCCGCAGCCCGGCTCGCGCCAAGACCGTGACCGCCGGAACAGCTCCAGCTCCCCATCGTCAATCGGAGATTGGAGCACAAGTGAAATGAACCACATGCACAATACACTCTGCCGTTGCAGCCGCGGACGCCATACTTGCGAGCAGCGTACACCGTGCAGCACCACTGCTTTTGAGTGTTGCTTGTCCGCATGGCGGAAGCAGCTCGCTCATGAGCTGGTGCCCTGTGCTGGTGGGCGTTCATTGCTGCTGGTGCGGGCGTGTTGTGCACTGCGGCGTCGCCCGCTCAGACTGACACTGGGCCGCGCCGCTGCTATTGGGCGAATCGTCGACTACAGTAGAATAACGGGGGCTCCCCAACAAAGACTGCTCTTGCTGCAGCCCCCCATCGACAAACACATCCACCAGGTTACAGAGCGCGTCGCCTGCCCTACAAACAGCCAGCCTCCTGGCGGGCGAAGGAACGAAAACTGTGTCAACGGGACATGGAACGCATCTCTGCATTCCGTCAGCAAGCACAGCCCATGGCTGGCAACTGGCTGCTACTCAGCATTGGGCAAGCATCCAAACAAAACCCACGTGCAGCCGCAGTTCCATGCCGCCCGAAACTAAAATGCGTCCACCATCCAACACACAACCGAATACACAATCACCATGCCAACCTAGAACTAAAAACTGCGTGCACCATCCGCTGCTAAACGGATCACAGAGTATCCGAGACCATTCCGCATCAACCCGGCCCCCACCCAATTCCGCGATTCTTTCGCTCATTCCCTTGCTCTGAACCATGCAGCGCCCACCCACCCACGAGCTGACCTCCCGGGCAACAATCTTGCCCATTTCAATGCCTCCATCTGCCTTTGTGCAAGAGGCACTCCTCTCAGTGTTGCATTTCAAGGAGGTCCAAACTCGCAGCCGCCGGCCCCGAAACTGCTGCTTCTGCAGCTAAACACACTTTCTACGTCAACGACTTCCAAGGGGCAGCCATATACCTATCCGACAGGGCCCCAGTCCAAGCTGCTGCTGCCACTGCCACTGCGGCCACTTTCACCAATCGATGGTGCTCCTTTGAGCGGCTGCGACTTCACTTCCTGCTTTGCGTCTGGCTTTGCCTCCTGATGCTCATCTGCGGGCGGCCCCTTTTGCTCCTCAACGAACGTCATCATCTGCCTGAGGTTGTCCGTGCACTTCGCAACCAGGCCGTCCAGGGGCAGGTCGTTGTAATCGCGGCCAAAAGGGTTCTCGATCTCGACGCCGATGCCCTCGATGCCCATGATGACGTAGCCGATTATGGCACACACCAGGAGGATGAGCCACTCCAGATCGTGGATGAGGACGAATGGGAGCGACATCAGCCACAGCACCATGAACGTCCTGAACAACAGGGGGTTGGCAAATATCAAGGATCAAATTCATGGAAACCATTCGTCAAGTCCCCAAGCTAGTAGTCATGAATGGAACTTCGCATTCAAGCACCCTTTTCAGCAATGGGGATACACGCAGCTGGGGAGGACATGCAACGAGCACCTGGCGATCCTTCCAAAAGCATGTATGGGGTCATCTTCGCAATATGCAAAAGCTTCTCACCACAGCTGAACAAGAGGGGGCCGCGCACGGCATTTAAGGTTCCTTTGCTCGTAAGGCAACGTTTTCCATAGCGCTGAGAATCTCACCTCAGGTGAGCAACATACGCAAACGGCATTGGTGTCCTTTTGATGCACTCCACAGAGGCCAGCTGGGCCATGAACTCCTCCAAGTTTGCATCCAGGTAATAAATCTGAGCCTCAGGCAGGAGCTTGTGCACGGCGATCACACGAATATCCGCAGAGATACGCAGCATGACATGCATGGGCATGTGCGTGGCTGCCATCACATCCTGTATTTGGCCACCTTGAAGGATGGAGGCGACTTCATGCAGCTCCTGCACAAGCAGCACGCATTTAAAAGTGAGGATCAACGTGCTGCTTTGAGTCGCTGTTTGATTCAAAGTTTTCCAAGTATTGCAACAAAATAAGCTGAGCTAACTTATTGTGTCAACAACACAATGATCAAGTCAGCGGTTGTCTATCGCAAAGTCCAGCAAAGGGCTTGACATGGATCAATTGGGCTATGGGTGTCCATGTGCAAATTTGAAGTGCAGGTTCCCAGTACCGTAAAGATGCGCAGCACCCAGGAAATAGCTCAGAATGTGCTCCTCATGGAGTGGACAGACCTTCTCGTCCCTCAGGTGAGACTTGAGGATGATAGGGTAGGCAGCTGCCCACCGTATGATGTCAAGTGCCAGGTCCTTATCATTGAGGAACACGGCAGCATGCCTGCCCATGTTTCTGGCAGTCGTCACGATCGCGCCCCACACCTTGCGGCCCTCCCACCAACGAGCATAGCTCGAGTTCGTTCGAAACACCAACAAGAAGAACAGAGCGCTGCCTGCAAGGAGCACCGCACTAGGAGGTCAAATTGCGCACGGGTCACAGGACTATTTGCTATCACTCTGAGCAAATCTTGAACAAACTTCCTTCAAAAAGGCCGTACGCTTGCTGGAAATGCCTCGGTATAGGAACCATCCACTTCCTGTTGATCAACCAAGTACCTTCATATTCAATATTTCCTTGGGGCGATCCCCAAGCCACGGCACAAATGGTAGTAATCTTTGCACTTGTAATGCTCACCTATACATCGAATGTTCCGTCGTCAAATATTCCCACATATGAGGCCAAAACAAGCCTGCTGGCATTGATGCTAAGGGGGTCTCAGGGTTTGGGAGGCAAGGTGCCTCTCTTTGTTACAATAGTACTGTTCCCAGGCAGTGTCATCAGTGCCTCAGTACAGGCAACTCTGTGACAACGCTCTCACCAGCTTGTCCAGATTGTGGCACACTAGGAGATGTGCTGGCAACAGCAAGGGACAAACAAATGCCAACTGGCGTTGAACCTCTCATTCCCAACAGCAGCAACAACGTCCTGCACTTGCCTGCAGCATGCAGGAGGACTAGATTACAATTATCTGGGCTGTGGCACAAAAGCTGCTGAACGTGATGTCCCTAACTTTGGATTCAAACAACAGAGGAAGGCCCACACCTCTCCCATCAGGATGGGCATGACACCAAGACTCTTGAGTGTGCTGCAACATTTGGTGCCCCAACAAGTAAAGCGCAACAGAAGAACAAAAAACAACTCACCTACTATAGACACCGGAGTCGTTAAGGAGTCTAGAAAGCAATACGAATCTTGACACTCCACAAAAATGTGCTGAAAGCGGACCATTATGACCGAGACGACGATCAAGCAGTAGAGGTAGTATGCCAACAGAGGGACGATGGGAACCGCACGGCCACGGAAACTGAAGATCGTCAAACACCTGCAACAGGGTTGTATTGCAAATGGTTGGCCTTGAACAACCTGTAGGTGGCCAGACAACTGAAACAAGGGAGAGCGCAACGTCCAAGCCAAGCTGTCAAGACCAACCACTTGAGTACAGTCAAGCACCGTCAGCATCGAGGCTATTTGTGCCACCAGAAAACTAGAGGCACTATGGTGCTACAGAAATTGTTCAGCAACCTGTAGACAGTATACGCTGTTTAACAACCTGGAAAACTTTGCCGCAATCACCCCAGAAACTTGTATCAACGAAAAAAGTAGGCAGAAGCACCCCTTTGGCAAAGCAATACGCAGGTTGCCCACAAACTACCAGAGGAGGTGGTGGTAACACTCCAAGCCGGTGTGTTGTTCAGCCACACCACGGCAGACCTGCTGCACCTAGTGAGGCGAGTGACTGTAGGGACGCAGCCCGCCGCAAAGTGCCACACTCTGCCAGGGGCAACAGCGAGGGGGGTTGTTCACCAGCGGCGAAACTCGCCCTGGGCGTCGGTGCGACCAAAATAGGCTCCACAGCGTGAAATGATGAAAAAGCAGTCGAGCGCCTAGGGCAGTATTGGAGAGCATCGGTGGACAAGGGCGGTGGGGCTGTCTGTACGGCGCGCATTGCTCCCAACAACAAATGCGCAAACATCTGGGCAGGCCGCCGTCGCAAGGAAGTTTCGGCGCCCGCAGCGCGGCATGACGGCGCCCCGGCCGCTGCAGCTTTCCCATTTTGATTGCTCCACTCGCGAAATCTGGAATTTGGGCCCGACTCTTGACCACACCGCCGCCGGTGAACGATCCCGGGGAAAGCGCCAGGCACGCGGCGGAGATGAGTTCGACACGCGGAATGCTGTGGACGCCAACGGTGGCACAACCGTCGTCCTATCTGAAAACGCCCTCAATACGCGATGACGTCCGTCAGCTATTAACCTGTGAACGATAGCGCCTTAACAACACGCTTCGCAGAAAAGAGAGAGATCCGAGACCCAGTAAGCTTGATGGAGCCCACCAGGAGGTATCTGGATTTCCCAAAGTCAGCATGTGGCGGGAACCCGTGTTCCCACTTGCCCGTCCGCTTACGGCGGGGGCCTCGACACCTCAAAGACACAGCCGAGCCGGCAGCGGATCTGCGGATCTCGACCCAGGCCCACAGCCCCGGCGCCGCCTGGCTGGCAAATCGGTCCACAGCACCAAAGAGGTTGCGAATGCAGGTACGGGGATTGAAAAAGCGGCCCAGCGTTTCCCCGCCCAGCCAGCTGGCCGCGCACCAATTGCCGCTGGTGTCGAAACCTCGTTTGTCCCTGTGCTCCAGGAGCCTCTCCACGCCCTCGCCGCCCCTGGACCGCATGCCATGGTTCACGAGCCGCGCTACCGTGCGCGGCAGCAGCGGCTCCAGCGACATCCCGCCGACCACGACGCCGCGACGCCGACGACCTCAGCGGCCCCTCCGCCCCGACCTGCGGCGGGGCCCAAAAAAGCAATCAGGAGAGAGCCCAACACCGGGCTCAGGGGGGATGAACACACGCAGGTGGGCTCGGGTCGGCCGCTGCGGCGCGACGAGGATTGGAGATCCCCCTCGCGAATTGAATGGGGATTAGGATTGGCCTTCGGCGGGCTGCGGCGGGGCTGCGGCGCGGCTGGCGATGCCACGCACGGGCGCGACGGCCAGCTGGACGCCCGTCGGGTGTGGACGGACAGATCGGCATGCATCAAACCACGGTGGGGCGCGTGCCCTGCGTGGGTCACCTGCCGCCCCCGACGCGCGTGGCGCGGCTGCCCCCTCGCCCCTCGCGCTGAAACTGCGGTGACAAAGCGGCGGCCGCGCGGCGGCCGATGCTTTTGTCCGTGGGGGACTCGCATCCGCAACTGTCAGCTGTCAGGCATGCGCCTGCGCGTGGTGGTCCAAGGGGCCCGTCTGTCTGACGTGGGAACTTCGAGTGAGTCTAGGGGCCGAGATCAACCGGTGTTGGGGCCCACCGCGGCGCCACGAGTGCATCTCTGTGCCACACGTGGCTGATGGCGTACTTCGATATCTTAGTTATGCTGAGGATACTACGGTGAAGTACTGCAGGCTTGTGGAGTGCTACGGTGCGCATTTCAGAGCGAGTTCACGGCCGACCCTGAACGAGTGTGCGCTTTTCACCGTCACAGCACCGCACCCACCGGCGGTGGCCGCGCTTCCCTGTCTCCGATACGGGTACGGTAATTCGGGAGGAGTATCACTTGGCCGAATCGTCACTGACCGCGGATACCCCTGTTCGCTGTTGGCGAACGGGGCCCTTTTTCGGCAATTCCTCATCCAATTCCCGTTCCATTTGAAGGGATTACCAGGCGATTAATGTGCGAATAACGGGCGGGATTAACGTGCGTTTAACACTGGTCAGCGGCGACGGCGGCGCAGCCAGGGAGCGCAGTGCAGCCGCAGCCGGCGGTGGCCGAGCGGCGCAATGGGTACGTCTCCACTTTCGAGCGTCTCTCCCCGACTGCGGCCTCTCTGTGCAAAATCGGATCACCCGGAATCCGCATCTGCGTCCTCGGGGATGCCCATCTGACCCCCTCCGCGCGTTCTCTCCCAGGGATCACGCGCGACTCCCTCCACAAGCGCAACAAGACTGGAGGGCGCAAGGGCAAATGGAGGAAGAAGAGAAAGTGAGCGGCCGCATCGAGGCGGATGCAGCTGAAATTTGGGCCACCGAACGCGGCTGGGGCCCCGCGGCGACGCCACGCGGGGAGATTGGGGGAGGGGTAACGGCGGGGTGGCCGCAGTCCCTGGCGTGGCCCGTCGACTGTTGTTTCAACAGTGAGATCGATCCGCCCGGGTGTGCGGTGCGGTAGGGCGCACGGAAAGCTGCCGTTCCCCGCCTCCGCGCGTTGATCTTGCTGCTCACCGGTGGCGGCAGGCGGGGGGATTCCCGTGGCCGCCACTCATGATTGGAGGGGTTGGGAGCATTTGCGGCCGGTTTCGGCACACGCTGGGCCGTGCAACCGGCGTGGATCGCATGCCGGAGGCGCCGGTTGCGCTGCACCACCGTTCCTTTTGCGGGCACCTGGCTTGTCTGTGGTTGTGGACGAAATTGGCATCTGGGTGGAGCACATTCTCGGAATTTCACCCTGGACGTGTGTGCGATGTTTGTTGGCCAGGTATTTGCTCGGTCGACCTTCCGCCAACACTAAGCTGTCCGCCAAGGTGGCCGTGAGGCGCGTGAGGGTGCGCGGGGGCAACTTCAAGTTCCGGGCCCTGCGGCTGGACTCCGGCAACTATTCGTGGGGATCGGAGGTGGGGGCCTCGTCTGCGCAGCATGTCCGCTTCTGACTTCTGTGTCGGCGTCCGTTTGTTGGAGCTTGGGGCTGATGCAGCTGTGCTGGCAGGAGAGACGGGAATCTGTGCCTGAATGGTCAGAAGAATGGGGAAGCTCGACGAAACGAACACCAGCCATTTGGGGCCCCCTTTCATGCTCATCTGTGGATCAATTCGCAGCTTTGGATGTCGATTCCATTTCCACATTATCCAGCAGCATTTTTTCTTCGAGGCGAGTTAATGATCTTGCCTCTGCTTTGCCCCGACTCCACAACCAATGCTCGTATCTGGGATGTTTGTGCACTATTTTGCTGATAGTCCAAAGGTAGGAACAAGCCAGCACGCGCCGTGCTCACCCTGTGCTGTATGGACCTTGATGACCCCGATCACCTGCATTCAGCACTGACGGGCGTGTGGTGCATGCATGCAGGCGATCACCAAGAAGGCTCGCCTGGTAGCAGTGTCCTACCACCCAACCAGCAACGACCTGGTGGGTTCTGTGCTGGCTCTTCCAACTGTCTTTGGCTGCCAGCCTGTGGGCTGTGCAGCTGCGCTGGGTGTGGTGCTGTTGCTGCCAAGTTGTGTGCCCAGCAGAAACAATGTTTTCTGCCAGCTTTGTAGCCTGATGCCTGCACCTGGCCTTGGATTGTTGTATCCCAGGGACGGGGGATATCCATTGTGTGAGATGCATTGGAGACAACGGTTGCAGTTTTTATGCAAGGATGATGGCAGAATGCATTTCCATGCTGTTGCATTGACCATGCCGTATGCTGGGAGCAGCACAAGTGCACGATGGCAAACTCGGACATGCTCTTGCAGCAGCAAGGCGTTGTACTTTACAACGGAAACACCTTGCCTTTTTTTTGGTATGGCTACCAGTTGAGATGCACATGGGACCAGTATCCCCATACCAGAGCTTGATGCTTCCTTTGGCGTGTGGCATGCACGCTAGTGTGCACAGCATTGTTGAGTAATGTGTCATTCCCATTCCTGGTGTTTGCCAAACTGGAACAGTACACCAGCCAAAAACTGCCACACATATAAGGGATGGGACTTGGATGCCCAACCAGAACTAGTGCCCTCCATTTGCCAAGCTTTGCAGTGAGCGAAATAAAGATCTGGCCCATCTCGCTGCTGCGATCGTTGACATGGCGCAGTGCCTGTTGTGCCCGTTGAAAAACAGGCATTCCGAGTGATTCCGACTCGCATCTCAAGTTCTTAGACCCATTCTAGCCCTTTGGGGCAGTCGCTCCTGCTTCTGCAGGCTGGCGGGCTTCCTGGCTTGAGTCCTTATTGATTGCATTGTTCCAAGCACTCCTAGGCACTGCCTTCCACCTTGCATGCTGCATTACGCCTTGTGGCGAACTAAACAACGTCCTCTGCGCCGGCATGTGCCCAGGTCCGAACTCAAACCCTCACCAAGAACGCGATCGTTCAAGTTGACGCATATCCATTCAAACAGTGGTACCTGCAGCACTATGGGGTTGAGCTGGGTGTGAAGAAGACCGGTTCCAAGTCTTCCGAATATGAGGTCCTCCCTGACTTCGACAACCTCAAGGTGCGCAGCAGCTGTGTCCCTTGGTGCTTCCTCTTTGTGCCTCTGTTTGTGTCAGTGGTTGTGCTTCTGTTGTTTTTCATTTTGTGGAGAACAGCAGTTTTGGTGGGGCAGCTGGTTCATACATGCACACCCATTTGTGCAGTGCAGCCGCATTCACGTTCAAGCTGAGTCTTCAGCCCTGGCGGCAGCTTGCGGCAACTGTGGGCGTGGGCAGCATGTTAATGACTTGCCATGCCTAAGCGGGTCTGCCTCTGTTTGTGGCAGTGGTGCTTCTGTTGTTTTTCATTTTGTGGAGAACAGCAGTTTTGGTGGGGCAGCTGCTTCATACACGCACACCCTTTTGTGCAGTGCGGCCGCGTTCACGTTCAAGCTGAGTCTTCAGCCCTGGTGGCAGCTTGCGGCAACTGTGGGCATGGGCAGTATGTCAATGACTTGCCATGCCTATCCGGGTCGATAAGTTGTCTGCTTGTTCAGAGCTGTGATCTGATGGCGTTGCGTAAGTCACTGGATCACGTTGCCCCACGTTCCACGATGACAACCTAGCCCAGGCACCAGCAACAAAGATGCAGGACGATGCTTGCAACGTGAATGGCCGGTTCAAAATAGGCTTAGAACCGAACTTTATTGACAACATAGTTGTGACTTACTGTTGCACACAAAAGGAGCGTGACTAGATAGCATCGCGTCTCCGTCCTGTGCCAGTAAGCGCTGTGCCGCAAGAATTCCATTGTGCTCACAGCCAACTGGTTCATCTCCTAAGCTGACAAGCGGATGCATACAAAAAGGGGATTACTATGGGGATTTGAACCCGTGGCCTTTGCTCCCCACCCGCAGGCGTCGTCCCACGTGAAGAGGAAGTTGAGGGCGCGCCTGGCGACCCGCAAGCTGGACCCCAAGGTCGCGGAGCAGTTCCAGACGGGCCGGCTGTACGCCTGCGTATCCAGCAGACCAGGCCAGATGGGCCGCGCGGATGGCTACATCCTGGAGGGCAAGGAGCTGGAGTTCTACCTGAGGAAACTGCACATCAAGAAGAAGGGCGCCAAGGCCGCCGCCTGATCGGTTGGTCGTTGAGGACGGCGGATTCGAAACGGGGAGTGCAGGCGGCCCTATCCCGACGACGGTGTCCTTGGGGCACACAAGGGGCCGACTGCCGTGCATGGCAGGATGGCAGGCGAGACGCGAGCGGACTGGGGATTGCTGATACCCACGGACGTCCGCCTCGTGTCCTGCCCCTTTTCAAACCACATTGACGTGGTGTTCATTTGGATGGCTGCGTGTGTGCCCCTGGGACGCCGACAGGTGTGCCGCCGAAGTGCAGGGCGAGTGCCCATGTTTGGTATGGCAGCAACAGCCAGTGTGCTGCCCAGCAAGGGCGGTCTTTGGCTCGGCTCCCTGCTGCGTTTGATCTGTGTGCATTTTGCACGCTCTGGAACCCGCCCAAAAAAAGAACCAAGGCATTGTGCCTTTGTGCGATTGATGGCCGCACGCATGTGCTGCATGGGGAGGACGTGCCCCAGCAGGTGTCGCCGCCAAATTGTCGGCAGTCGCGCAACGCCCTGGCCAGGGGCCGCCTCTGCCTCAATATGTGCCCTCTGGGCCCATTGCAGATCATTCTGCCGCCCGATACGGTTGGGCCCAGAGGGCACATATTTAGGCAGTTGCCGAGGGGCCGCCATGGAAGAGGCCGCAGTGACGAAAAGTGCGTGTTTTGTTACACTCTTCATGCTACACGTCAAATGCTGCCAGGAAACACCGGCGCAATAACGTCCAAGCCTTCCACCATGCACCGTTTTCTTCTGAACAGGCCGAAATTCAACAGTACGCTCTGGACTGGCGTGGCCCTCACTGTGGGACGTCCGTACGGCACAACGGCCGGCTGGCCATGGCATCAGCGACCTAACACAGTCGACGGCAACCACCCAGGAGGTCAGGTGCTGCGCGCTCACCTCGGGTCGCTCCCAAACTCCCAGACAAGAATTGAAGCGACTTCGTTCCCCTCGAACGTCGTTTCTCTCGCCGCACGTCGCACGTGCTACAAACATGCTTCCGCCATGGCTGAGCACAATCCTGCATCTTCCAAACCCCGCAAAAGAACCCACCACACTCTCAGCCCCAAGGTGGCCTCGCTGCTCGACAGGTCTTGAGTATGAACCGCGTGACTTGCCACAGCACGGCGACACTGACGATGTGCTGGTGATGGATGCATCAATGCAACGAAGCAAACGTTCATTTTTTGAAAGCGCAGGCGGCAGCGCGCGCACCTGCGGTGGGCTCGAATGGCACCTTGAAAGACTACCTAATGGTGAGCAGCGTAAAGAATGACGAAGCCGCAGCCCGGCCATGAGCAATGTCACCGCCTCGCCGCCACATGAGTCCCTTTCCCATCCAGCATTTCCAACAGAATGACTACTCCAGGATGCACTTCCTCCCGGGACAGCAACAAGACGCTCTCGGCTTCCGTTGCGTCACACTTCCAGCAATAGAACTACGCACAATGTGGGCCCTTTCGCGGCAAATGCAGCGCTTCCTAGTTCCGATTTACTCCCCACTATGGATGATGACCTATCTGAATGGTTCCCTGCACCCCTTCCCCGTGCCTTGGCGCGCCGGCCTATCTCAGCATGACGGCCATGAGGACGAGCGCGATGACAATGGCCAGGGCCACGGCCAGGCATATCCGCTTGCTGGTCGCCGACTTCTGGTGCTTGTTGGCCATGCCCAGTTCGGTGTTGGCCGCGTCCACGCGGTCCGCGGCGTGCGTGATGTTGGTCTCGATGTCATCCAGCATGGTGCCCTGGTCGTGCACCAGCGTCGCGACGTCCTGGAACATCTCGTGCAGCTCGCCGATGTCGCGAATCACCGCGTTGATGTCCTGCTCACGAGGCAGTCAGTCAGGCCGCCAAAGTGTAAAGTTACTGCAAAGTACAAGGTAAAGTGTAAAGTGCAAGTGCAAAGTGGCTGTAAAGTAAAGTGCAAAGTAAAGGGCAAAGTAAAGGGCAAAGTAAAGTGCAAAGTAAAGTGCAAAGTAAAGTGCAAAGTAAAGCGCAAAGTAAAGTGCAAAGTAAAGTGCAAAGTAAAGGGCAAAGTAAAGTGCAAAGTAAAGGGCAAAATAAGTGTAAAGCAAGTGTAAGTGTGAAGGGCATTGCCCTGGTGCTATTCCAGCATTGAGGAAAAGCAGTGTGAAAGATACTGGTCGATGATGCGAGTCTGTCCACATTTGTCGACAATGCAAATCTATAGGTCTCTGAGAAGACTTGTATAAGTATCTGAAATACTCGTTGATCATATGAATCTGTCCATACTTGTCGACTGTGTAAATCTATAAGTCTCTGGCACCATTCTTGGCCTTTGCACCTGCGAGGTGGTGTCGGCCATGGGGCCGCACGCAAAGAGTCCGTGATGCGATCTACATCAACGGCAACGTTCGATCAGCGCATCAATGAAGCAGTCAAGGTGCAGGCTGATGAAAGCAGGCGGCACTTACGAGTGCACGACAAAGAATGCACTGAACCCGGCGGCATTCTAATCTCCCTGTCTTCTCGGACAATGCTCCAATGGAATGACTCCAACCACAGCACCACGTACAGGGCAGTACACAATAATGATGTGCCAACAACAACTTGGATAATTTTATGCCGCAGCCAACATTGCTGAATCTGCCAAATCCGGCTGCAAGACCCACCTGGTCGCGCTCTTCGATGAGGCTCTCGTTGTGCGCTACCATGTTGTCCAGCACGAGGGCCTCCTGGCGGCGCTGTTCCTGCAGCAGCGCCTCGCGCTCCATGGCCGCCTGGGCATCGTTCTCCTCAGCCAAGGCGGCGCTCGGGGAGCGGGGGGAGACGACCTCCGCGTCGTTGCATCTCTTCAGGGCCTTCGGGAAAGATTGAGAGACAAGTTGAGATTAGCACTCAGACTGCATCAGAGCTGACGGAACATATCGGCAACTGACCGAGAGTTCAGGTTTCAGAGATCAGATTTCATCGGGGCAGATGAACTAGATGTGGGATGGATTTAAAGATGAGGCTGGACGAATGATCAGGCTTGGACAGAGTTGAAGGCACAGTTTTTGGCCCAAAGGAGAACTGAGCGAAACACAGAATGCGAGCAACTGCAGTGGATTCAGTCGACGATGCAATCAACAGGTGAATGTGGAGCTGCCCAACGCATTTCAGGACGGCTGCGGTGAATTGTGCACTAGGTCACAACGGGATTATAGACAGGTGCAAGGTTGTTGCTCAATTGCTATGCACATCGACCAGACCCTCACAGTATCTGCATTGATCACCATTGAAGGTGCATAATATCTCTGTTTTTCATATGGATGACGTCAGATTACTTCAAGCACAGTTGATCAAAATCGGACTTGCAGTCTGATACCATCAGGCAACCATTCCACTGCAACAGGTTCATTTGAGACTGCACCAGAATGGGGCACATTCACATGTAGAGGCTGTATGCAGTTGGGATTGCTAAATTACCACGAATGTCAAGTTCAGCCTTGCGAACTGGCTCACACTACTCAGTACAACCATCAGCCACTGCAGGGCAGACTTTGGTCGACCTTTCTCTTTTCATGAATTTCGTCCCTGATTTCCACAAGGCCTTGTGTCCAATGGACAGTTGGCTTCAAAGGACACCATTTCAACACAAGGGAGGGCACTGCTCCCGCACTGACCCGTATAATCTTGTGCCTAACTGTGGAAGTTAATGCTGCTCTTCACCAGTTGCAGCGCCATGGCACTCCTACACCTTTCTGACAACAGATTTGGCCTGCATGGGCAACGCCCTGTTCTTTGAACAAATCTAAGCAAGGAATAAGTTCTGAAGGAATATCATACGCAGTTCTGAAGGAATATCATACACAAGAATGACAATATCAAAGACAAAGCAGGAAAGCTGTCCAGATGGAAGCAGAACGTGAAAAGCACCCCGAAAGTGAAGTCAGGGTAGTTCATGCACAGCAATTTGCAAAGCTCACCTGCTGAAAGTCTTCCAGCACTGCTGTGAAATTCTGCCCGGCCCTGTTTAGCCTGTCCTTCTGCCTCTTGGGCAGGTCCTCCTTCTTCTGGTTCAGTCCCACCATCCTGTCCATCACCTCCTTGGCCTGCACCTGTGCACATACATGTTTGCAAGCAGACTTGAGTGTTCGTTCTGCAGATGGAGGTTCTGGAGACAGATTTGGTACATGTTGTGATGGTCATTTGCTTGCCATTGCCATGAAGTTGCAAACATGGGTCACTCTTTGACAGTGGCATTATGAAATTTATCATCATGTTATCAATGTGTTGCGATCAACATGCAATATGCAACAAGCAACATGCGATACACAAGATGTGTGCATGTACTGTGTGTGACAATCAAATGTTTCAATAGGCACAATACCTGCACAGCATTTTTGGAGGCCGATAGCTTGGATCGTAGGTCCCTCGTGTCTTGGTTGGTGCCTAGCTTGTCCACCATCCTCTTGAACTTCGTCACCGCTGTCTGTACCTGGAAAGCTTGCCGCTCCAGCTCATGGATTTCCTGGATCAGAGCAGGCACACACGTTATTGTTCTGAAAGGAGTATTGACAATTGAACATCCATCCACTGGCCCACACAAAAGACAGCCAACATTGTCCATGCCCCAGTGTCAATGTCCAACGCAGGGCTAACAATGCCCGCAACGACAAGGTACGTTTTCAGGCAGACGCTACTTGGGCCATGCAGGGGATTCATTTGAGGTTATGGATCAATTTGGATGTCTGCAGTGAATGGCTGTATCTTCAAACTTGCACAATTGAATGCTGAGGCAACTGCCATTGCTGTCTTCATGCATTGGCTGCTGTTCACAATTTTTGATGTCAAAACTACTCCAACCATGGAGCAAGGGACCCAAAAGCTCAAAAGGCACTACCAGAACTCCACGTGCTCCAATATCGACTCCCCAAGGTCCACCTTTAGATTCATGCAAGGACTAACAGTGTGTGGAACAGCCTGGCAGGGGAGCATGAATGAGCAACAATAACCCACAATGCAAAGTGCTCCAACTGCAAATCGAAGATTCCATATTGATTACTAGCATCAGAGAAAATTTTAGCCAAATGCCATGGAGGGGCATGGCCATTAGTTCAAGGTTTTCACTCTATACTCTACGCCACACTAGTGACTTCGACCATGCACCAAGAAACATTGGCCATCCCTTTCAACCAAAAGCCCTTGATTGCTGCAGCAAGACAAGGGCGTGCCGTGGATCATGAGCATCACTTGAGGACTGGAACAGCGGCACAATGCATCCTTTCCCAAGGAGCAAATTTCAACAGCATGATTCTCCCGCCAGGGAAATTTGCACATCTTTGAAAGCATGGAACAGAGCCTCGGCAAAATATGGATAAGAAGGGGGGTCCCCATTTCATGACACGTTTCCCTTGTAACAACGGGAACGGTATGGAATTAATCACAGTGATACTTTTCTCCTCCAACAACCACATTCTTCGACCCTCCCGTCATTCCCGCAGAATCCAAACGATCGCGGTGGCGCCGCGCGCCGCTCCGCTCAGACACATCGCGACTTCATCCCCTCCACGGCGATGCAAATCCCCTCTATTGACAGGCGACCCCTTGCGGTGGCCCCTTGCGCCGCACCGCGCCAAACCTCCTGGCCGGGCGGACATCTCGATCCCGGCCTGACATCTCCGCGGCCATCTCAAAGACGTTCCGGTCCCACGCGCACACATTGGCTTCAGACGCGGCCGTTGCCGCCGCGAGACATTGCTGCAGTGCCGCGCAGCACCGGAAAAGGCGCTCGCATTCACTCCCGCCGTGTCAGGCCACCCCATGCCCATCTACCCCCGCCAGACGCTCCAAGCGCGTGCTCCTGGGCGCTGATCACGGCCCACGCGAGCCAGTCATACATTTCGCGCCCCTCTCTCCCTCACCTTCTCCAAGGGGCTCGCGTCCGCGTAGGGACGCATCTCCCGCCCCCCCGCCCGCTTCGCGTTCTGCGCCGCCGCAAATCAGACGATCAGCTCGAATCAACGAATCGAGCCCGAGGCGGCGGCCCGCGGAGATGCCGAAGCGGCCGCCCGGTCGAGGGCGCCGCGGGGCGCACCATGAAACTCATGGCCGGCCGCGGGAAGGGCGCGCCGCCGCGGCGCGATCCGAGGGGCGGATTGGATCCAAGAAAGGAGGGGGGGCCGGCGGCGGCGGCGTGACGCTGACCGCGGTTAACCAATTCAAAGGCAGGCGGTCGCGGCCGGGAGGTTGCCCAGGGGCGGAGGGGTTGGGGTTGTGTCCCCGGCGCTCGCAGCCAATGGGTCGCTGGGTCGCACCTAGCGACAAAGGCCAGGCAGCGGCTCGCTGACTCAGCGCCGCCCTACCCTAGCGCAACTCAATGCGCAAATTTAGGGTTGGATGCTTGGAGGCCACTCCTGGGCGTGTTTGTGCTTGTCTGGCTTATTATCAGTTCCAACGTCTCAAAATGGTCAAAAAGGATGTGTTTTGGGGCGCCTGGCGCCCGAGTTTCAGGTGCGGGGGTGTTTGTGCCCGGCCTGTTCCTTTGGTTTGATGGTGGGGGAGGTCGGCTTGCCGGCAGACGGGGGCAGCAGGGTCGGGTAATGGCCGCGCGGCCCGCGGGGTGCCGTGGTTTCGAAACTTTGGGGCATTGGGTTAGAGTTGATTCTATGGTGCGGGTGGCGGCTCGCAGCGGCGGTTGGGGAAGGACGGTTTTCGGGGTGGCAGCGAGGGAGAAAGGGGAAAAATGAGGGGGGTATCCGGGAATTGAACCCGGGACCACTCGCACCCTAAGCGAGTATCATACCACTAGACCAATACCCCAAGTGCGTAAATTTCGTTGCATGGCTAAATAAACGTATTGCCGCCGCCGCTGCAGCTGCACTTTGTTACAACCCGACGGCGACCAGAACAACCCCCGTGACGACCTCGATGCTTTTCTGATGGGTATAGAACAAACAGGCCTAAATTGGCGTTATGATTGCATGCAATTGTATGCAATGAAATTCACGAATTCCTGCAAGAATAACGTTTCCGCTGCTCCCGCACAGTGTTGTCACGTGCGCGGAACAATCAAACGAGTTCCTGCCCGCGCGAGGCTATGTTTCCTCACTGGTCCATGCGCAGCAAACTTTCCAAAGCGGATTGCAGAAGTAGGCAGGCGCTGGTCGCGCTGGCCGATCTCAGCTTCCAAAGCACGTCGTGATGAGGGCAGAGGAGGAGGACATAGCAAATGCTGGGCAGGGAGGAATTGCAGGGGCGCACGTGGTTGTTTCTGTCAGAGGTAGATTTCCAGCAGGTATTTTCGGCCGCAGTTGGGAAGCCGATCAATGGAGCCAGTTCCCGCAGGTAGCCAAAATTCTGGAGGCCTGCAGTCCGCAGCCTTGAGTGCACTTTTGTTTTGCACGCCGTTTGCGCTGGTGCTCGTCAGGGAAAACATTGCAGGACTTGTGCCGCGCCGACCTTGCGCTCGTTGTGGCCAACGCCTGTCAACGCCGATTGGCGTGGGTCAGCTGAATGTTCTGCGAAGCACGACGGGCAAACTTGGGTATTCTATTGTGGAAGACGACTGTCGCAATGTGCGCAGTGCGGGTGCCTATTTTGATCACAGCTACAGCATTCCAAGCATGGCCGCAAGCGTTTGGACGCATGAAGCGCGACAGGTATGTTTCTGTCGCAATGCGCAGCGAAAAGAGCTCCAGCCTCGGCAGTGCTGGCCAAAGATCGACCGCCGTGTTGCCGTCAATGAAGCACTGAAATTGTGTCGGATTTCTGGCTACCTTCGAGCGCAATTCAGGGCACCTCGTTTTTGGACTGCATGCAGCGCCCATCGGAAATGGTGTAGCATACAAACACGGGATGACCAGCAGGGTGGTGAGAGCACCGCGGACATAGTTAAGATCTGCAGCGCCCACTCCACGCCCATCCCCTACGCCCAGCCCAGCGCCGGTGTGTTGCCCACCAGGGCGGGGCATGTGGCCCGCTCCTGAGGTCGCGTCCGTGCACCTCGGGCCCCTTCTTGGCGTCTGCGGAGCGACCTTCAGCGCGTCCTGCTGGTGGCACTTCGGGAGGAGGACGGGGCCGCTGTGGGTCAGGACCCGGGTGAGATGAGTTGCGAAGAGAAAAGGAAAAACAAGCCTTACCAATGGCACCCCATCCGAAGCAGGCGTGCGTGAGACTGTGTTGTACGGCGTGGGAAGATGATGTGGAGCTCTACTGCAACAAGAGGAGCACAGAACGCAAGACACCGCGAAGAGCAGGGATCCAGGATGCGGGGCGGGTGGGGCGCCGCGCCAAGGGCCGTTCCCGCTGGGCCCTTGGGCTTCAGCAGAATCACCTGCATCGCTGAGCAGAACGGGGCCGTTGAGTTGAATGCGCCAAAGAGCGTTGGGCGGTGCTGACCATGCATCCCCGTTCTTTGCCAAGGGTCGTGACGGCTCTCGCCGCCTTGTGGCGTTGATCTGTGCTTCAGCGCGGACCCCGTTGTGCTCGAAGGCTTGTGCATCGCCTCGTGCGGTGCGAAACGGGGGCTCGCCAGAGTTCATGTTGAGGAAGGGTTGCTGGTTGTGTGGCATATTTTCCTTTTTGCTGAAAGAGCCTCCCGAGACAGGACGAGCGGGGATGGGCGTGTGGGGTGGGGGGGGCGCTCAGTCCACGGTGCAAAGCGCCTTGGAACGAGCGCGGCGCCCGCGGGTGTCTCTCCTTCAGTTCTGGTGTTGCGCTTGTCGGATTCTTTGACCTGCCCATTGGCGGCGAAGATGTCCTTTCCAGTGCCCCATTCTGGTTGTCTTCTCTAAACCGTTGACGTTGCTGTGCATGTCTCCCACTGCGACGTGAACAGAGCGCAGTGGAGGGTGCGCCAGAAATAGCACAGAAGAAAAGTACGCGGCAGAGGTGCCTGATTTTGTGTTGCTTAAGTAGTGGGCCAGCAGCTTGTGTGCCTGCAGCGTTGTTGGAACCCTCACGCAAGGGCCCCCCCCTCCCCCTTTATGACCAGATGATATTGTGAACGAATCGGGATGTAGCATTGATCTGATTAACGTTGGATCCTATTGCCTTGTGGAACGACCAAATTGAAAAAACAACTTGCGTTTCAGATGACTGCAACTGGTGGAATTTGGTGCGATTGCTGCATGCGAGAGCTTCCTGTTGGTTACATTTGCCTATGGTGTCACATTGTCAATTTCCAATAAACATTGGGACGGATTGTGCAGTGTCTGCGGTTTGAAACCAGTGAACTTTCCAACAATGTAGCCATCCATGATTCTAAAATCGCCAAAGCTGGAGATTGCAAAGTGAGAATGCAGAAAATGGAGAATGCAGGAATGGTAGCCACGTTGCCAGTGTAGCATGAAGCCATGGGCAATGTACAGGTGCAAGTCCGCTGGCTACCTGTCATTTACTGGCCAAAGTTCTGTGCACAGTTGTGGGTTTCAATTGTCACACTGCACGACTCACCATGTTAACATGGAGCAGAATCTGACTCAATTTCTGCCACCTTCCTGACAGAGCGCCCCGAGCATACTGACAACAGAAACAAATGACCCCTGCCCAAGGTGCAAGGGCACCGGAAAGTCGACGTGTGGGCACTGTGGTGGGCGAGGTGGGCATGCAGGCTGTGCTGTGGTCATTTTGCTGGCTGCCACTCTTCAGTGGCTGGTGCATGCTGAACACCAAAACTAGGCTACTGAAGAGACAACAACTCACCAAACAGACATCTGAGCAACAGTAATGTTAGGTCCCTGTTTTGGCAGTGGTTGGGCTTCTGATGGGGCTGGTGCCTTTCTCTGGCGATTTCTAGGAAGACTGAACCATCGACACTTGGCTATCCTGCCAAAGGGGGAGGGCCCCCAATGGTGCAAGAGCTGCAAGGGATCGGGCAGGTGGCACTGCGAGAGGTGGGCCCCACCGCTGAGCAGGAGCCATGGTACTGAACTCAACTGATGTTGCTGGCAATATGTGGTGGGCAACATAGAATCAGGAAAGCTCCCGCGATCCAAACACAAGGAGTTCGTTGTAACTTCGGTGGACTGTTACCAGTCAATGACGAGGACCGTGTTGCCCTTCCCACCCTTTCAGGCGCCTGGACTGTGATTGTTTGCTGACATGGAGCGTTGGAGCCAAAGTATATGCTGTACTGGGGTGGGCAATGCTTCAACAGCGCTTTGTTTTGGAGCGTTCACAAGCAACTCGCAGAGTCCATCAGCCCAAAGCGCAGATTCATGACCAAAGGAAAGTAAATGCCATGCTCAAGAGGGGATTTTGTTGAGATGGGAAATCGAGTTTGCCGATGTCACCTTGCAGGTGCAATGTCCTTGTGATGCCAGTGGGACCAACGCGATTCGAAGTGGTTTTCAGCAGTGTTTCTTGCTGTACTTCTCACTCATTTAGGAGATGTAAATCTGGAAATCAGAATTGCAGCCTCCATCAACTTCTTCAGCGTGGTGGCTGGCGCGGCCATTCTCGGACATTGACGTGGATGCACTGTGACAGGTGTTTTGGCACTGGCGTCCGTCGATCGCCGATCGGCTTCCGGCTGTCGGATGACCAGGAGGCGTGAAACGAAAAGAGGGCTACACAGATACGGCCTGACGCAACAGTTTTGTATTCGGTTTCGATCTTTTGCACGAACGCCGGCTGTTTGACGACCTCCACCGCCACTGGACGACACTTCGCTGCGGAAGATGGTGTCCCATTGTGATGCAGAGGCCATCCGGGGCACAAGGTGTATTCCTGCGCGTGGTGCTTTCCGACGCGTTATGCGTTCGTTTTTCGCTTGTTGATTGCTATGTGCTGCGTTGCTTGCGAAATGTAACATGCTGTTCCTGCTGCACTCAGAAATGTGTGGTTGGCCTTCCATTGTGCGATAAAAGGACCACGTAGAAATTCTTGATCAGGAGGAAGGGGCATTGAATGAAAATTCTTGATGTCAATCAACGTACAAAGATGTTTCAACAACGATTATGTTGTTTTCCATCTGTCGAAAACGGTCAATTTCCCCGTGAGCATGTCCCTATACACATATTGTGACGGCATCCCCCCCCCCCTTGCACTCAAGCTACGTCTCTGAGGGCAACCATTTTCGTCGCTTCACGCTCCTGGCAAGGTCTGCCCCCTTAGCTTGGTCATTCAAGTTGACCAGGTTACGGGCATCGTTGACAAAAGCGCGTCTTGTGGGCAGTGGTCGCAACCCTTGCGCCATCAGCAGTCAGCAAGCTCTCCATTGTACACTGGCGAATTGTTTGGCTTCCCTTATCTTTCTTTTCAGTTGCTTTCTGGGAACGACTCATGGAGCACTGCATTCGGGAATTCTTTCACAGCATGGACAAGGTTTCATTGCAAGCACCCAGGAAAACGCCCTGCTGTTCTCGGCACGTGCATCTGCTGACTTCAGATGATCGGACACACCACGGAGAACCTCCTCACAGAAAACAAGGGGGGGGATAATGTCCATTGTGGGCCAGCTGTTCGACTTGATGTTGACAAACCGCTGCATGTTTCTCTCCCTGCAACAAACCTGCTGCCGCAGCTTCTGTCTGTTAGTAATCTGGCGCACCGCGGCCCATCCACCGCGGTACTTAAACCCCCTGTTCCAAATGGCCCACCCAAATTTCAAAACCCCCCGCCCCGCCTCGCCAGAAACTCACACCCCCGCAGCAGGCAGGCGCCCCTGTCCACCTCCGGCTCCCTCAAACTCTCGCGCGGCACTTTCGTGCACAACTCCTCGCCACCCCGGGCGGCTCGATCGTCCGTGTCGGAATCATGTCGGCCCGAGACGGCGGTACGCCGGCCGATGATCCCGGGAGCTGTCCCGGCAGCGCGGCCAGCCGGATGCGGACGCCGATCGGTCGAAGGGGCCGGCCGGAGGACTCGACAGGCGGGGCGGGCCGGACGGCGGCGGCCGCGTCCTCGGTGGAGCGCCTGGCGGCGTTCAAAGGTGCGCGACGGGAATGGGGGCCAGTTGGGCGGCTTGCTGGAAGAGATTGGGGAATGACGGTACCGCTCGATCTGCCTAGGTGCGCGTTGTTGCGCTTCTCTTGGTTTTTGAATGCCCCATGATCATGCCGGCCGCGGCCGTCTTGGAGGTGTGGCGTTCATCTTGGAGCCAAGAGGGACAGATCGGCGGCAGCCGTTTGTGTGGGATCGATCTGTCGGAGGGGGGCCTCAGGGGTTCGGTCCCGGGGGGGTGGGGTGGGGTGGGGGGGTGGGGGTTGCAGGACGGAATAACGAGGCGTAGTCCCGTTTGTCCCCCATCTTTGCGGAGATTTAGCGGGAGACCAGGGAAGGAACAAGGCGGATACACAGGAGAGAGTATCAAGCGTCGTCGCAGCACGTCCATTGGCAAAGACGATCGGGGGGATGGGGCGCCCATGCCGGGGGCCCGCTCGAGCCGATGGCGCCGGTGCTGGGTGGGTATGGAGGATGGCAGTGGACGAGTGATCTGGGGTCTGAACGGGTAGTGATTGGATCGCGAATGGCTTTGTAATCTTCCATCACGGCACCTGGCACCGAGACCGTTGAAACGGGGTCGTTCACGCGGGATGCGTCCGCGGGGCGTGAGACGCCGGCCCTTGAGTGGGATCTGTTCCTCTGGGGTCGCGCGGAACCGAAATTCGACGCGTCGTCGCGCTACCTTCGCCGATGGCGTCGGGAGGGGGCCGACGGGCACGTTCGGCGGTGCTGCGTGTGCGAATGCGAATGCGCTTTCAACACACACAAAATGTGCCTTTCGTGGCGTTGAACTACAGGGAGCTGATGGCGCGCGTCGCCCGGTGGTGTCAGAGAGTCGCGCAGAGTCCATGGTGGTGCTGGGGCGCGAGCCCAACTGATTATCACCTGTGGCTGTGTGCGAGGCAGTGCCCACCTGGTCTCCCGTCGTGGGCTCCGTGCCGATCCAGCCTCCGCTGCAGTCCGGGCCGCAACCCCTGGCGGGCGAGGTCAAGAGCTGTCCAGGTGCGTGTCCGCACACCTCATGTGAAGTTGCGAATAAGACATGTGGGGATGGAGGCGAATGGTGGAATTTGTGAAATATTGTGTCCATTGCAGCAACGCGGAAACGGGGCGCCGGCAATGGCACGTGTACACGTGATTGTAGAGCATCAGACAGCATCGGAATTGTCAAGAGGTCCCAAATGGCAAGACAATGCTTGGCAGGAAAGGCATAGCAATCCCGAAGTCTGAGGAGCTCACCGCAGCTTGTTGGCACATTTGGAATGTGCGTGCTTACCAACTTTCTTCAAGCAATACCGTGGGAGGCACTGTCAAAATATTGGGTGCATCAGCTTCAGCTGCACATGCCAAAGATAGTTCCCAAAGATAGAGCCATTGAAGACAGTCCCGCCCTGTCATTCCTTTGACCGCATTGCCATTGTGTGACAAACCACTGCCCTCACACCTTGAAGGCGCTGACCAGCACGAATCTGTGCCCAAGTTGTCCCGATTGCTTCCTCCATTTCTCTATGTCAAAACAGAGCCAGGAACAGAACTGCTGCATTCATGCAGGGATATCTTGGACTTGCTGACAACTCTCTTGCCTGTGGCACAGTTCCGACATGGACTTGCTGACAACTCTCTTGCCTGTGGCACAGTTCCGACATGGTCCCCAGTGGTCGGGCTTCTCCCACAGCAACAGGAAGCAGCGGCCCAGCCGCTCCCATTCCTCACGCCTGTAATCAATGGATCCCCACCCAATCCAGATGGGAGTGCCAGCCTCCAAGGGCAGCGCCTCCTGTTCTCCACTCCCAGTGAACGATCTTCGGTCTCTGAGACCCCAGTTGCTTGGACCCAGGTTTCCAGCCCACTGTCCACACCACTTGTCTGTTTGACAGATGCCAGCCTGGGAAGGTGTGCCCACTGTGGTTTACTGCCATAAAGACTGGATACTTTGTTTCCTTTAATTTGTTCTGTGGCTCATCTTTGCTTTTATCTTTAATCTGTTCTGTGATGATGTTTGCTTCATCCTCTTCAATGTGCTCGATGGGGAGTAGTGTAGTAAATTATGCACATTGTGTTGTGCTTGCTTGGAAACTGGACTTTGCCAGCTGTTTTTATGTGCTGTATGTATCTGTCTCGTTATGTCTCTTGCCTTAAATTTGCATTGATGCTTCAGTTGCTGCCCAATAGTGGAACGGGCCCTGCAGTCACATCCACGTTGCCCTTTCTATTCTTCTTGCTCTGATCTTTTTGCACATTAGACTTGCAACAGGCAGGTCTCCTCTTTCACTCAGCCACAGACTGAAAACAAGATGGACTACTGGACTTATCCATCCAGACCTTATAAGCCTGGACATGCTGAGCATTTTGAAGTTCGTGCAAAGTACTGGCAGTTTGAAACCATCGGATTCAATGGCCTTGGACTTTGTTGCCTCCCAAAGACGCAGATTATCATGCACCATTTGTCAATCTGCCAAGTTGCGCTGTTGTTGCTGCCCACCCTCAGAAGGTGCAAGACCATTGCTTGTGCACTGCTAAAGAGTTCAATCAGAACGACACACCACTGCCTCTTGATCCCTTGCTTCTTTCCGAATTGTCCTTTGGCTTAGTTGAATCGTTTTGGCAACTTCCATGGAGGGATTCAAGGCTGTGAACACATTAGGAGTTGTGTCAGAGTGGTGCCCCCCCAAGATATGGTCTCATATGTTGGTGCTCATTAAGATCTGGACATCAAGAGCTTCTTTCGATCCAGATATTCGCAACAAACGAAGCCCTCCATTTTGTTACGATATTGAATTATTAATTTCCTGGTCCCATGAGCGCCTGGCCCCACAAGTGCTAACATACAATCTTCAAGACTTGGCACTCTTGTTCATATGTCCCGACTCTTTTGGGATTTCCCTACTATTGTGCTCTCTGAGGTGGGACAAATCCCTTCTGAGGGGATGGGGCACCACCGTTGAGGTGATGCATGGTTTTAGAATATGTAGCTGACTCCTGGTCTTCCTTGTGCCAGGCGCCGCTCTCGCTCTGCATCTCCCCAAGGCAGGGAACACGGCACACCCCGGCCTGTGGTGTGGCATGACAACGCCCTTTATGGCGCTGCGGCTGCTGTGCCAGGCACAAGCTGCATCAAGGCAAGCCAGCCAGCGTGGCTGAGCGCCAAATTCGCTGAAGTTGCCCTGGACCTGCCTTGCCCCCCACAATGCGACCATCATCCTGAACCTGAGGGGCAAATGACCATCTCAGGTAGGTTGTCGGCCCATTTCGCCACGATATTTGGCCACGCAACGCATTCGCTCTTTCATGCTGTTGGCGATAGCAACACCACCATAGCCCAATTGCTTTATTGGCACTATGCGGCCCTGTTGGCGTGGCAGCACTGCCACGGCGACTGCTGATTTGCATGTTGCCATACCTTCCCTGTTGCACAAAAGCTTAAGTTCCGAGTACCAAACCCACTACCCAAGTATGGCCTAGTTGTGAAATTGGACTTGAATCTCCAGCGTCTTGGAGATCCCAAATTGTGAACAACAGTCGCCACCAACTGCTCCAGTCAATTTGTGAACTGCTGATGTGCAGCGCCTGATCATTTGGCTTGTGATACTTCTGTGGTTTCCTCTTGCGTGTTGCTGGTTGCGACTGGCAAGTTTTGTGCCTCGGTTTTTTCTCACCGGCAAACTGACTGGCTGCGTCCCGAACACAGCATTCGCACGTCCTTAATATGTCAAACTACCGTAATATTTCACCTTTCTGGATGAAAAGCTTGTACCATTACGCTTTCTACTCCGTGTTTTCTTTTTCAGAGCGTTATTGTTTTTTTTTGTGTTGCTTCGAAAAAATTTTTATTTTTCTTCACAAAACAAGGCCAAGCGTTGCATTACTGTGCTGAAGGGTTTAATATTATTCAGTACAAACCAAGTCCGAAATGCATGAGTGCAGCGCGAATTCCATGTCCTTTTCATCAAGCAGGTGCAGAGGACAGGCGAGATGGGGTGGCTGCGTCAAGGGTCATATCCGGCCTGCAGCTGAACACTGCCCTGCACCTCAACACAGGGTCGGGGATCGGCAGGTACAGAGCCGGGGTGTTGGAACCCACGAAGAGCAGCGAGGCCGTTGGGGGCCAAGGCGGCAAGTCGCTGGCTGCGGCAGTCGACATGGAGGTTGGAGACGACGTGGAGAACGAATGGACAATTGGGGCTGCGAGGAGGGCCGGGATCATAGGCCGCGAGGAAGAGGAGGCTTGAGAGAGGTCGTGCAGGAGGTAGCGGTTGTGGTTGGCGGTCTGTGGGTGCGAGTCCGATGACTACTTGGGCCTTTGCTTGGGGAAATGATGCACTGGAATTTGCATTGCATTTGTGGCGAGGTGATGGCTGGATGGGTGATGGGGGGAAAGGGGGGAATGTGCACTGGGCTGGCACACATTTGATGTGGATGCTGGCTGTCTGCAACGAAAAACGCGATCCAACGCCCGGTGGTGGATGCCCCACTGTTTGATGGAGTTCGGACATCCCGCTGCTGGGTACGGATGCCGGGTGTACGAATTGTTGAATGCCTTTGTTCATGAATACTGTGCTGGTGGCTGATATTTAGTTTCGAATTCTTCTGAGCTGGTTAGAGAATGTGTTATTGTGTTGGAAAATGTAGCCGTGGGGCATTGGTAAGTGCACGTTTCCAAGGACACAAAGGGCAGCAAGTTTGGGTGTGCAATTGTCTGTGGTTGACTGAACAATCTTGCCTGGAGTGAATAATAGGGACTGTGAATGTGGGGAGGGGCGTTACTGCGTGCTCTGGACAGCAGGAAGCGATCTGTGGGGGTGACCTGGGGCCTTGGCTGCTGCCAGAATACTGATTTTGGATTCTTCCGGAGGACGAGCGGCTGGGACCCTTGAAGTGCAGCAAAGTGGCAGCGTGAGCTCGGCGGAGTGCATGGCACTCGGTCCGGGTGACGGCATGTCAAGTTGGAGGGTGCGGTGTGGCTGTTGGCTGGCCGCCACAAGCGCCGATTCGTTCCCTTGGACGAGTTTTGTCGCGTCGCTGCAAAGGCGGCGGCGAATGATTCAATTGGATTGTGTGTGGTGTTTTGATGCCACGACTGTGCTGTGGTTAGGAGGCTGCGGGACATTGAGCTTGTGGTAATCGGACCGGCCGTGGAACTGGAGTCTGCATTGTGGACGGCCTTCTGTGTCCAGCGCGCAGTGCGTGCAGCGCATGTCCGCCCAGTGCAGTGGCCCTCGACGCGATTTCATTGCAGCATTTGGACATTTCACATGCGTGCCGCGGTTTTCATTCCGCAGCATTCAGCAGACAACGGTTAACAAACAGGGTGGTGCAGGTCCTGTCGGCGGGCTCCTGCCCAATTTAACCCGACATTAAAATTTCTTTGTCGCAAGGACGCTCCCGTTTCGTTCCCATAATGGCGGGGAAACTCGAGACAGAACTAGACGCGTTCGGCTGCTGTTGCGGCCGACAAGCCGTTGGCAAGCCCAGTCGATGCCCACTGCATTCAGCACACCCGCAAGTTCAGCACTCTTGGGCGTCGCAAATCAGCCGCGCCAACGGCACCCTTCTCGCAGCTGGCGCCTCGCGAAAGGCCTTTATTTACAGTTGTCGTCGCGCAGACGATGGAAACAGAAAGTCTTGAGAACAGCAGCGTCCGGGGCGTTTCCAGCACGGAAACTGGGGCCCGCGCGAGGGGACCCGGCGCGGTCCCAGCGCCCTTTCTTACTCGAGACGTTCCGTGAGTGCTGGGTCCTCCACGCTGCCACGTCAGTTCCTGTGCAGTGTCAGTTCGGATGCTAAGCAGTTCAATCCTTGAGCAATTCTGTGCACCCCCGCACTGCAATGTCAACACGACAAGTTCAGCGCAGAATGCGTAACTTCCTACACGGCCCAATTCTTGAGAAACTCCCCAATCCCCTGACCACCCGCACTGCCAGGCTACTTCCCAGCGACTTCCCCGCGACGTCCCTGCGACTTCCTGCACTGTCAGTACAGCTCCTACACAGTCCAATCCTTGGTCGGGGCAGCTCCTACAAAACGGACTCCTCGACCAAGTCCCGACTATGTTGCTGACTCGCTGCCACGCCAGAATACCCTGCGAACTGCAACTCCTGATCTTCCACAGTCCGTTGCCAGATTCCTGTCCATCTGTCCGTCCGTCTTTCTGTGCGTGTGCCTGCCCATCTGTCCGTTGTCTTCAACAATCCACGCCCTTACTCCTGTCCATACATCAAGTCCCAGCTTCTCGACAGGCAAGCACAGCTTCTGGAGCAGTCCCTGTCAAACAACTTGCCGCCGATCTGATGGGCCGAATTCGCAGCTGCCGTCGATTTCGCCGCACAAGCTGATCGACTAAATTGATAGCTGTGGTTGGCCTGGCCAACCGCTGAAGTACATCGACTGATGTACATAAGCACATACATGAGCACAGATGGCACATTGCCGTGTCTCTTCTCCCTCCTATGTGTGTGTGTGTGTGTGTGCGCGTGTGTGAGTGTGCCTCTCAACTGGCACCCACAACAGAGACAGCTTTGCTGGAATAAAAATATCCTATAATCAATGTTCTCAACGGAATCCTCAAGAATCGTGCAAGGCTGCACCACAGTTGCAGCCCAACCCATACACATGGGGCAGCTGCGCCTGCACTGCAAGGACTGTCCAGACCCCAAGCACATCCTTCACAGCGCCGCAGCGGCCGATCTGAGCATCTCGCAGCAGGGACGGCTTTCCCAGCACAATCAAACGAAAAGCGAAATACAGCAAAATACGCTAAAAGCTGGACTCGAAAAAAGCAGTACTGGGTCTATCAACCTCGACAGCCATCGCCCACCCACCTCCCACACGTGGCTTCACTGGGGGAGGGAT